CTGCATGTACATACAAACATATATACACATACGGAATGCTATATACTCCCATTCTGCCACTGCTTCTAGCGACAGAATTTATGTAGACTTTATGTATTTTAGGCTAAGACATTTATTGAATAAAATACGGAGAGCATTCGCTGTCCAGAACTCAAACCAAAGAGTACATGCCTTTCAATTAAAAACGTTGTTTACATGGCGACCGTGGCAAGTGTCACTTTTGTGCATTTTACGTGGCTGCATACTTTTTGGCTGTTCGAGGCGGACAAAATAGCCGACAGCAAATTCTCAAGGAACAGCGACAGCAAAAACAGCAGCAACTGCAGCAATAACAACAACAACAACAACAGCGACAGCAGCAACAGCAACAACAACAAAACAGAATAACAACAACAGCAATGAGCCGCAGCAACAGCGGACATAATCATGTCTACGAAAAAAAGCCTGTGCGAAACCTGCACCGGCCACGCATTTCCGATATACCCCCTAGTGGGCGGATCGGGAAAATTTTAACACTTTATAAATCGGAGATATACACGATTATGTGTTCCAAATTTCAAGTCTCTAGCTTCAATAGCGCCAAAATAGATTGCGTTCATACGGACAGCAAGACGGACATTGCACAAAACCAATATACTCATTTCACTTTCGTGAATGAGTCTAAAAATATCTAAAGCGCAAGATCTGCTACTGAAAAGACAAAACGCGGACAGAAGAAATAGAACTTTTCAAATAGGCGACAAAGTACTTATGAAATCAAATAAAAGACTTGGTAACAAGCTAACTCCTTTGTTTGAGGAAGTCATTGAACAAGCCGATTTGGGGTCAACGGTTCTTATAAAGGGGAGGGAGGTACACAAGGATAACATAAGATAAGAACAAAATAATTATCCTTCCAGTACTTATTCTGCTCTGTATCCTATCTTTACTAGGGTTTGAATTCTTCGCCTTCTACTTCTAGTAGCAGCAGCAGCTGGAAAGATTATCAATTACTCGAGCTCGGATTATATTCCCATCATGGACGGAAACGTAGTTATTTGGGAAAATTTTTAAATTTTAAGACATTCTTCTAATCTCACAATTTACTCGGAGATTGCCGAGGAAACTAATTCACTTATGAAACATTTCCCACAGTCTCATATGAGACAAATTCTTGAATCAGACTTAGGTCATTTTAGGATCAGCAGATAGCAGGAACTCCTGACTTTGATGACTTCGAAAATCTGAAATTTCACCAGCAAAACCTAACTGAATCAATTGAACAACAGGCAGTTATAAATACAAAAGTACAAGAAAAGATTAATAACTTAACAGAATCCGTAAATAAAATAATTAGATTTGCAAAAGGGAAACAGATCGATACAGAAACCTCTATTAAGCATTACTCACAAGAAATAGAATTGTAATCTCTGAACTCGAAACATTAATGTTGTCTATTACGCTCGCAAAGATTCAAATTATAAACCCAACAATTCTTGACTCTAATGACCTAAGTCAAATTTTAAATGAGCACTCTACAGAATTAACTATAACAGCATTAATTGAAATAGCCTATGTAAAAGTCTTTTTAGATCATAATTTTGTACACTTTCTTATCAAGTACCCAAATCCTAGCGTAATATGTAAGAAAATAACCATATTCCCCGTTCAACATAATGGAACGATATTTGACCTCGAAGAAAATAACAACGTCGCAGATTGTGGTAACAATATCTTAGCAATTGGAAACTGCACCGCTACTCTCACCTCTACATTCTGCAAACAGCTGAAATCAACAACATGTGCGCAGCAACTATATTCTGGAGGTATAGCACACTGTAGGACTCGTCCCAGCCACCTACAGCCGCTGATGGTAATTGACGATGGTATCATCGTTATCAACGAAGCTACAGCTACAATACAGATGAATAGCAACACATATAGAGTCATCCACGGCACACACTTGCTGACGTTTGATGACGAAATCTACGTGAATGGGTCTCTCTTTGAAAATACCGAAAACATACTCAGGCGTCATCCAGGCCCAGCAATATCGGCAATCCTAAACATAACTGGCCACCGAGAGATTTTAAGCATGCCCTATCTTCAGAGGCTGAACTTTGAGAATCTTCAATATATTGGCAACATCGGAAAAAACTGTCAATATGGCCTATGATGTTTGCAGCATCTCTTGTCACTCTGATCATCGGTCTCGTCGTCTTCAAGGTTCATCAAAATTGCAAAGAGAATAAACAACAAAACTCAATACGAGCTGTCATCGACACTTTGGGGAAAACCGAGGACGATCTTCAAGCTAGTGAGGGAGGAGTTAACACATCCGGTCAGACAAAGTCAACGACTGCAGTTCTGCACGATCAGGAAAGTTGCAGCAATGTTTAATGCCAATTATACCAAACTCCACAATACGTTGCCGTCAACATTCCATGCGCCGTCGCGACGTTGAAACATAATCCATTCAGCATAATCGCTGATACAGCGATTATAGGTCAGGGCTAGCTTATGTTAAGAATATTTTGTCATTTATATTTCAGTACGGATTTGACCAATAAACGAACAAGTAATAATTCTATTTCGCTGATTTAACTTCGTGCAGAGATCACAAGTGAATAGTCCGAGTATATTAATTATTAACTTACACAACCACGAACTATAATTGATGGAATGGTCAGAAATTTTGACCAACATCAAACAGCATCGTGTAGACTTTGACAAATCGTTTAAGTGCCTCAATTAGAGCGCCCCAATAACGAATCAAACTAAAATAAAACACGTTCAAAATTTAATAGAAATTTATAATAATATTCGTCAGATAATTTGTGAGAATATCCCAAGACTTACGCAACTGCATCACACGCAGGCGACTGATGTACTTAAAAGACTAAGAGAAAACCTTTTATACATCTCGGATAGGCACAAATTAGATATATTTGTACCAAATATCTTAAACACGCCTGCTACTTTTCATGTGTCCGAAATTTATATAAAGATATCGCAAGCTCATCGTAGAGCACGACGCCATATTTGGAAGGCTCTTCCACTTTGGTCACCACAACGCCACACGCCCTCTTTGCCATGGTTGCGATGAAATTGCATGAGCTGCTTGAAATCACAGATCACATCCGAGTTGAGCACAAAGAACGGCTCCGAACTGGCCGACAGTAGTGGCTTCGCCAGCGCCAGTGGCCCAGCTGTGCCCAGCGGTTCGGTTTCATGTGAGAATATCAGCTCGACTCCCAGTTTGTCTGCTTCTACTTTCAGCTCTTGCTCCATTTGCTCTGCCCGATAGCTGACTGCTAATATGACTTGACGGCATCCCGCGTCGACTAGAGCCTTTAGCTGATGCAACAATATCGGCTTGTTGGCGAACTCCACTAAAGTTTCGGGTGTGCTTAGTGTCAAGGGACGCAGACGTGTGCTATAGCCACCAACCAGGATGAGTGCCCGGGCACAAGAGCCGGCAGCTGTGTTCGGTGAACCACACATTTTTTTATGTAATCTTAGTAATTGGGACACGTCACAGACGAATCAACAGAAAATTCTCAACGTAACCAGTTTGTGTGTAATGAGCGACGAATGTCGACAAGGCTGAAGCTCTAGTTTGTCAATGTTTGCTTCTTCAGTTTTTGTTGTTCTCTCTTCTGGTTCTGATAAGCCGCTCGTTGTTGTCTTTTGATGACTGTTGGCGCGTTCTTATTGGGAGCGTCTCCGAATGCACGTAGAGCTGAGTGTATGAGTGAGTTTGAGAGTGTGCAGATACCTATCGACGTGACGTATTTATTTTTCTGTGTTGCTTAAACTTATTTATTAAAATATTTTAGTTACAAAATTAACCATTAGTTCTGTCTGCGCGCGGGCTGGCTTTTTTCTATTGAAACTATGAAAAGACAGTGTTAAAATGGAAAAATTAAAATTAGATATTAAAAGAGCTTAACTATAGTTAATATAATTAAAATTATAATAAATCTTAAGGTAATAGTATTAGTAAAGAAAAAGGAAAGTATTACCAATATTGCAAGAAATAGTAAAAAGAGCAAAGAATTAGAAATGAGTTAACAAGAGACAAAAAGAAATATAGGATAGGATCGACATTGGCAACGAAATGTATACCAGTGCTTATGCCTGGGCATTGCGAGTGGTTTCCCTGAGATTATTTTAGAAAGAGAGAGCTCTAAGGAAAATACGTGATAATATTTATTAAAATTAACACTTAGAACATAAAACGCACTATGCAAAGAATAATCCGTACTGCACACAGGTAAATGAAGCGGACGATAATATCTAGTTGTTCGGGACGGAACCGAAAAATTAAGACGCATCAGCAAAGAGGATGCCCCCAATGGGCGTAGATATATCCGCCATAGCTTATGATTTTGGGTGGTCGATGCAGATCTATATTTCAAATTTCAGCTTTCTAGCTCTTCAATTAATATGATTTCTGGCATATCGGAAAATGCATTTTCCGATTTGCCACGCCCCTAGTGGGCGGATCGGGAAAATTTTAACACTATAATGTAGTATGTTGTATGTCGTATAAGCATATGCTCACAGTATTGTAGTGTATACAATATATCAATGTAGACATATGCCCAACATAAGTAAGAGTATCATGCTCACAACATAGCAACACTTTTTTGCTTCTTTTATATTATAACAGCTGTGTTAAGGCATTTGGATATTTGCCTTCTGAAATATTATTATATATTATTATAAGAAATTGAATTATTATGAATTATTAATTGAATTATTATCGAAATTGTATAGGTTAAGTACTTGAAGCTGAACCACTGTACAGAGAAGTTGTTATTGTACGCGCTAGCACGGGAGTGTCGCTCTCCAAAAGATCGCTCTCTCGCTGCTCGCTGTTAGATGCGCATAGGTGCGCTCTCTACTGTGCAAGCTGCGCTTGCGTTCATGTTAAATTTAATAAATTCAGTACAAAATTGAACACCGGTGCCAGCACTTCGTATATTTCAGAGAGACCGCAAGTTGCTGTCTACTTTTTTTATAAATATTATACACTGGCCATCGAAGGACCAGACTCCTTTTGGAAGGACATTTTTGGCGCCCCCGGGTGGACACTCTCTGGAATTGAAGGAAGCTGGATTATGGATTTTGTGGATAATCAGGGAAGTACATAAATACATAGAGCACATAGATGACCAAGTAATGCAAGCCATAAATAAATAAATGCATTACTTGAGACATACAAAATATTAATGTATGTACAATCTACGCCTATGTACATTGTGTTGAGCTTATTTCAAATTGAAATTTAAAAAAAAAAAAAAATAAATAAAAATAATAATAAGGTGCATATTGACCTTTGATCTGCAAATAATTCAATCTCTATTGCCTCGCATAATCCAAGTTTTCTTTGGCGCCGCTAGTGTGTTACAGTTTTTTTTGCTCATTTTCGTCTCGCACTTTCGTTTTGCGCTTGCGCTCACAGCTCGCTCTCGCTCGCACATAAAAGTTCGTTCTCGCTTGCACAGATAATTGCGCTCTTAATTTACGCTCTTCATTTGCATGCGCGCTTGCAATATCGTTTGCACTCGCGCTTGCACTTATAGTTGCGCTCTCGTTTTACTGTCTCGCTTGCACATATTAGTGCGCGCTCACTTTGCGCTCAGTGCATACTCACTTGCTATATCGTTTGCACTCGCGCTTACACAGCAAATTTCGCTTTAATTTACGCTCATCATTTGCATGCGCGCTTGCAATATCGTTTGCACTCGCGCTTGCACTTATAGTTGCGCTCTCGTTTTACTGTCTCGCTTGCACATATTAGTGCGCGCTCACTTTGCGCTCATTGCATACTCACTTGCAATATCGTTTGCACCCACGCTTGCACACGCAGCAGCGCTCTCGCTTTGCGCTCAAAACGTGCGCTCGTCACTTGGATATATTTTCGCTCAAAACTTGCACTCTCGCTTTGCGCTCATTGTATGAGCTCGATCTGCAATTATATTTTGGCATTCATACCGGCGCGCTCTCGCTTATGAATGCATTGCACTCAGTCGCTCAACAGTCAAATATAACTCAATAGACCACTTGCCCAAATAGTCACTCAACATTTTGGTTGTTGTCTTCGCTATATCGTAACAGTCACTCAAGTATAGTTTAACACTGCCAGCGTAATATATTGAGATTTATTACGATCGCGCGCATTTGTTAACATTCTTGAATTGCTCTTCGCTTGTTGTCATACATTAAGTGAACTTTTATTTGTTTCGATTGAAATTGGTTTCAACTGAGCATCACTTATAGCATCATGACTAACAAGCGAGGAAAGAATAGGTCTATGGACGAGTCATCATCAGAGCGTGTCGAAGCTCTGTTGGCCGTTTACAAAAATGTTACAAACGACATAACACGCATTAATAAATCATTAAAAGATTACACTAAACCAGTAGAGCCATTTGAAATTGAATGTCGACTTGAGATATTGAACCGCTACATAGAAAAGGCCTTTAAGACACAACAAGAGTTGGACGACATTAACGCAGATTTAGTGCCTCGGTCAACGTTAGAAGATTTGTGTGTATCGACAAAGGCACTTCTTATGAAGCGAGGTAGTGATAGCCAACCTAAAAGTGAGAGTCCCGCTAACTCTACAATGATTAGCTCAGTGTCACATTCTAGGAATCTACCGAATATAAAGCTGCCAAAGTTTAGTGGAGAATATTCGGAATATAAGAATTTCATTGGACTTTTGAGAGTTTAGTCGACAACGAGCCAGGGTTATCAAATATAGAAAAGTTTAACCACTTGTTGTCATGCTTGGACAAAGAAGCATTAGGCACTGTCAAGGCATATCAGGTGACAGATGCAAATTATCCAAAAGCGTTAGCTGCTTTAAAAAATGTGTACGACAATCAGTGTCTCATATTTTTTAACAGCATTTCAAAACTATTTGATCTCCCACACATGTCCGAACCGTCAGCATCATCTTTGCGCATGCTGATAGACTCAGTCCGTGCCATTTACGAATCTCTTTTATCGCTAGGATCTGATAAGCAGATTTCGAATGCCATGCTCATCCATTTGGTAATGATGAAAGTGGACGCTGGCACGCGCTCTAGGTGGGAAGAGAATCTTGACTACAATAAGCTTCCATTGTGGCAAGATTGTGAAGCTGCCTTGAACAGACGGTATCAGCATTTAAGTGCTGAAGACTCATCTGGTCCACGTCGTAAGGTAGCTCAGGATAATAAGAAAAGAATTGGGAAAACTTCTCTAGCTGTCGCTCTGCCAAGTGAGCCGCAGAGTCCCAAATGCGTGTTTTGTAAAAAGAACGATCACTTCATTCACTCGTGCTCGTCGTTCGCAGCAATACCTTGCCAGAAACGTTTTACGTTCGCAAAGAGCTATCCGCTCTGTATAAATTGTTTGCGAACAGGACACTCAGTGGCTGCTTGCAAATCAGCCCACTGTCGTGTGTGCTCTAAGCCGCACCATACCATACTGCATAGATACAGCTCTGAAGCGGCTCAAAGTAGCTCAGCAGTTGTATCAGCAGTCCCTCGTGTCACTTCGTCACAGATTTCATCTGTAAATCACGCACGGATAGCCTCTGATCAAGTTCTTTTGGCAACTGCAGTTGTGAAGATAAAAGATCAATCTGGATCTTATCACTTAGCTAGAGCTTTATTAGATTCCGGCTCGCAAGTAAATTTCATAACTGAAGAACTGGCAAAACAGTTGAAATTAAAACGGCAAAGATCTGGGATTCAATTGTTGGGCATTGCTAATTGTCAGTCATCTGTTCGGCACAGCGTTCAAACTTCGATAGCGTCCCGAACGGACGACATAGAAATCCGAACAGACTTTGGTGTGTTACGTTCCATTTCGTCGTATCAACCAGAGAAGCACACTGAAGAGATCAAGGTACCTGATAATGTACAATTAGCTGATCCTCAATTCCACAAGCCGCAACGTATTGATTTGTTGCTCGGTGCTGATATCTTTTTTGATATATTAAGAGAAGGCAAAATAAAAGGATCCGATAACAACCCAACATTGCAATTGACTGCCTTTGGTTGGATTGTATCTGGTCGCTGCCGAACATTGAATGCAGCTACTAGTTCGTCGACTTTCATTAGCGTCGTAAACGACGACATAGCTATAGATTCAATAGTTCGCAAGTTCTGGGAGTTGGAAGAAAAGCCAAATACAATTAATTCGAATTTGTATACCCCAGAGCAACAACTGTGCGAGAAGTCATTTGTGGAGACTATTGGCCAAACTACCTCGGGTCGTTTCAGAGTGTCGCTGCCATTCAAATCAAGCCCACATTGTCTTGGTACGTCTTACGACACAGCCAAGCGACGATTTCTGGCCTTGGAAAGAAGAATGAGCAAGCAAGAAGACATTCGGCCAATGTATATTGACTTTATGAAAGAATACTTGGCCTTGGGTCACATGAGCCCAACTAACAATCAAATTCCGAGAGAGCCGCATTATTTCATCCCATATCAATGCGTGCTAAGACCGCACAGCGCATCCACTAAACTTCGAGTAGTGTTTGATGCCTCTAGCAAGTCCTCCTCTCAATTGTCGCTGAATGATCTACTCATGGTGGGTCCGACCATCCAGCCGCAGTTATGGGAGACTTTGCTAAGATTTCGACTTCGTCCTTGGGCTGCTACAGCAGACATCGCTAAAATGTACCGTCAAATTGAACTTGACGAGTCCCACCGCAACTTTCAACTTATTGTGTGGAGGGAAACGCCCACTGATCCGTTACAAATCTTTCGATTAAACACAGTAACGTACGGGACAGCGACTGCTCCATTCTTAGCAATTCGATGTTTAAAACATCTAAGCGACTTGCATGCTTCCACTCATCCAGCTGCTACAAGATCGTTAGCCCGAGATTTCTATGTTGATGACCTGTTGACAGGAGCAGATAGCGTCGAAGAATTGTGCTTGTTGCATCGAGACTTGATCGCAATTCTTCAAAAGTTTGGATTTCCTCTCACAAAATGGTCGTCCAATTGTAAACAACTCGCAGCACAACCAGCTAGAAACGATATAGTTATTGGTCATCAAGAGGACACAAAAACATTGGGATTAATTTGGAATCCAATGAATGACAGCTTTAGATATTCCATGAACTGTCCAGTAGAAGTTCAACAGACCAAAAGATCCGTTTTGTCATTTGTAGCAAGGTTATACGACCCCTTAGGTTTGTTAAGTCCGATCGTAACTCGTGCGAAGGTCCTTTTACAGGAAATGTGGTTGCACAAACTTGGGTGGGATGACCAATTGCCTGTTCAAATGAGGCAAGAATTTGAGGCAGTAACTAGCTGTTTCTCAAATCTAAACTCGTTGCATATACCTCGTTACGTTGGCACACTTAAATCGAAAGGATGTCAAATCCATGGATTTGCTGATGCCTCAACGAGAGCTTACGGTTGTTGTTTATACGTAAGAATGCAAACAGATAAGGGTATCACTACCAGGCTGCTAGTCGCTAAATCTAAGGTAGCGCCCTTGAAAACAAAATCTGTTCCGCGGCTGGAGTTGTGTGCTGCAGAATTGTTAGCTACCTTATGGGATGCGGTAAGGAAAGTACTTGATTGTCCTATTAATCAAGTCACATTTTGGTCAGACTCTGAGGTGGTGCTTCATTGGCTGCGAATGCATTCATCTAGCTTGAACACATTCGTTGCTAATCGCGTTGCAACCATCCAAGAGTTGACAACTAATGTATCTTGGCGTCATGTACCAACGAAAGACAACCCAGCAGATATTGTATCTCGGGGATGTTCAGTTGAGGAGCTTAAAACATCATTGTGGTTTTGCGGACCAGGATTTTTAAAGCTCTCTGACACATGGTGGCCAGCCAACCCACAAATCACCCTATCAAAGGAGTTAGAGCTGCTAGAGAAGCGTAGAACTGCAATTACTATGATCGCGGTCGATGAGGTAGCAAATCCTATCGTACATCTTATTGAGTCAACGTCATCATTTTCTAAGCTAATCCGCATCGTTGCCTATATGTTCCGCTTTATCAATGGAAAACAAGAAAGTCATTCTTCACTTGTTCCTACAGCTTCTGAGTTAAGCTTCGCATTCCTTGCAGTTATATCTGTAATTCAACACATTGAATTCAGCGAAGAAATAAAGAAAATAAAGAAGTCAGTCGTGTTGCAACCGTCATTGCAAAAACTGACACCATTTTTGCACCCACATCAGCATGGCAGGCGTATGTTATGGTTGCTACGAGTAGGAGGTCGTTTATTGAAGGCACCATTAGCACATAATGCCAAATTCCCATTGTTGCTTCCAAAAAAATGTCGTTTCGTAACGCTTTATTTGGAGCATTTGCATCACTCTCATTGCCACGCCAATCCCCTAGTACTAATGGGCCTGCTTCGTCAGCAGGTTTGGCTGGTCAATGCTCGACAGGCTTGCAGTGCAGTAGTCCGAAAATGTGTACATTGTTTTCGCTACAAGCCGAAACTCTTATCCCAAATAATGGGCAATCTTCCCGCTGATCGCTTACATGGAAATAGGCCATTTGAGATCAGTGGAGTGGACTTTTGCGGTCCAATACTAGTTTCGCTGGGAATTCGGGGCAAATCGCCAGTCAAAATGTATATTGCCATATTTGTTTGCTTTACTTCGAAGGCAGTGCATCTTGAATTAGTCACCGATTTAACCACAAATTCATTTCTAATGTGTTTATCCAGGTTCGTTGGTCGACGTGGGCTTGTCCGGAAGCTGTACTGCGACAATGCCACCAATTTCGTGGGTGCTGCACGCACGCTGGACCTCAAAGCTACGTTCCATGGCAACACAGCGGACATGGAAATGTTTGCTGCGGAGCGGGGCATGGAGTTTGTATTCATCCCTCCTCGAGCGCCGCATTTTGGCGGCCTTTGGGAAGCGGCGGTGAAATCCGCCAAAGGTTTGCTGCTGAAAGCGATGGGCAGCGCTCGATTACGGCAAGACGAGGTGGCCACCGTGCTGGTCGAGGTCGAGGCCGTGCTCAATTCGCGGCCAATGGTCGCTCCCAGCAGCAACCCCAACGACGGCGAAGTGCTCACGCCAGGGCACTTCCTGATAGGAGCAACGCTCGTGCCGCTGCCAATCGCGTCCACAGAGCCAGTCGACGACGTCAAGCTGACACTATTAAAAGATGGCAGCTGACATCCAACATCAAGCGTCGATTTTGGAACGACTGGTCAAGGGACTACCTGCTCAGCCTGCAGCAGAAGTCAAAATGGACGAAGGAGAGACAGAACATACAGGTCGGAGCAGTCGTGCTCGTGGGAGAGGACAACGCTCCTCCACAACAGTGGATGCTAGGCGTGGTGACGGAAGCCATAGTCGGAGGAGATGGTAGAGTGCGCGTAATTGTCGTTAAGACAAAAAATGGCACATATAAAAGGGCAATTCATCGCGTTGCACCACTGCCACTCCACTAATACACCATGTTATTGAAGCCCTGCGGCCTTTCAACGCGGCCGATGTTAAGGCATTTGGATATTTGCCTTCTGAAATATTATTATATATTATTATAAGAAATTGAATTATTATGAATTATTAATTGAATTATTATCGAAATTGTATAGGTTAAGTACTTGAAGCTGAACCACTGTACAGAGAAGTTGTTATTGTACGCGCTAGCACGGGAGTGTCGCTCTCCAAAAGATCGCTCTCTCGCTGCTCGCTGTTAGATGCGCATAGGTGCGCTCTCTACTGTGCAAGCTGCGCTTGCGTTCATGTTAAATTTAATAAATTCAGTACAAAATTGAACACCGGTGCCAGCACTTCGTATATTTCAGAGAGACCGCAAGTTGCTGTCTACTTTTTTTTATAAATATTATACACTGGCCATCGAAGGACCAGACTCCTTTTGGAAGGACAAGCTGTATATAAGTGCCGTAATATGATCGGTCACTTATGAATAAACCGGCCTGCAGCATGGAATCTGCAACGTAAGCATTATTACGTTCTCGTCCACGCCGTAGCTTAAACGCTAAAATGTATATGCCTTCTGCATGTACATACAAACATATATACACATACGGAATGCTATATACTCCCATTCTGCCACTGCTTCTAGCGACAGAATTTATGTAGACTTTATGTATTTTAGGCTAAGACATTTATTGAATAAAATACGGAGAGCATTCGCTGTCCAGAACTCAAACCAAAGAGTACATGCCTTTCAATTAAAAACGTTGTTTACATGGCGACCGTGGCAAGTGTCACTTTTGTGCATTTTACGTGGCTGCATACTTTTTGGCTGTTCGAGGCGGACAAAATAGCCGACAGCAAATTCTCAAGGAACAGCGACAGCAAAAACAGCAGCAACTGCAGCAATAACAACAACAACAACAACAGCGACAGCAGCAACAGCAACAACAACAAAACAGAATAACAACAACAGCAATGAGCCGCAGCAACAGCGGACATAATCATGTCTACGAAAAAAAGCCTGTGCGAAACCTGCACCGGCCACGCATTTCCGATATACCCCCTAGTGGGCGGATCGGGAAAATTTTAACACTTTATAAATCGGAGATATACACGATTATGTGTTCCAAATTTCAAGTCTCTAGCTTCAATAGCGCCAAAATAGATTGCGTTCATACGGACAGCAAGACGGACATTGCACAAAACCAATATACTCATTTCACTTTCGTGAATGAGTCTAAAAATATCTAAAGCGCAAGATCTGCTACTGAAAAGACAAAACGCGGACAGAAGAAATAGAACTTTTCAAATAGGCGACAAAGTACTTATGAAATCAAATAAAAGACTTGGTAACAAGCTAACTCCTTTGTTTGAGGAAGTCATTGAACAAGCCGATGTGGGGTCAACGGTTCTTATAAAGGGGAGGGAGGTACACAAGGATAACATAAGATAAGAACAAAATAATTATCCTTCCAGTACTTATTCTGCTCTGTATCCTATCTTTACTAGGGTTTGAATTCTTCGCCTTCTACTTCTAGTAGCAGCAGCAGCTGGAAAGATTATCAATTACTCGAGCTCGGATTATATTCCCATCATGGACGGAAACGTAGTTATTTGGGAAAATTTTTAAATTTTAAGACATTCTTCTAATCTCACAATTTACTCGGAGATTGCCGAGGAAACTAATTCACTTATGAAACATTTCCCACAGTCTCATATGAGACAAATTCTTGAATCAGACTTAGGTCATTTTAGGATCAGCAGATAGCAGGAACTCCTGACTTTGATGACTTCGAAAATCTGAAATTTCACCAGCAAAACCTAACTGAATCAATTGAACAACAGGCAGTTATAAATACAAAAGTACAAGAAAAGATTAATAACTTAACAGAATCCGTAAATAAAATAATTAGATTTGCAAAAGGGAAACAGATCGATACAGAAACCTCTATTAAGCATTACTCACAAGAAATAGAATTGTAATCTCTGAACTCGAAACATTAATGTTGTCTATTACGCTCGCAAAGATTCAAATTATAAACCCAACAATTCTTGACTCTAATGACCTAAGTCAAATTTTAAATGAGCACTCTACAGAATTAACTATAACAGCATTAATTGAAATAGCCTATGTAAAAGTCTTTTTAGATCATAATTTTGTACACTTTCTTATCAAGTACCCAAATCCTAGCGTAATATGTAAGAAAATAACCATATTCCCCGTTCAACATAATGGAACGATATTTGACCTCGAAGAAAATAACAACGTCGCAGATTGTGGTAACAATATCTTAGCAATTGGAAACTGCACCGCTACTCTCACCTCTACATTCTGCAAACAGCTGAAATCAACAACATGTGCGCAGCAACTATATTCTGGAGGTATAGCACACTGTAGGACTCGTCCCAGCCACCTACAGCCGCTGATGGTAATTGACGATGGTATCATCGTTATCAACGAAGCTACAGCTACAATACAGATGAATAGCAACACATATAGAGTCATCCACGGCACACACTTGCTGACGTTTGATGACGAAATCTACGTGAATGGGTCTCTCTTTGAAAATACCGAAAACATACTCAGGCGTCATCCAGGCCCAGCAATATCGGCAATCCTAAACATAACTGGCCACCGAGAGATTTTAAGCATGCCCTATCTTCAGAGGCTGAACTTTGAGAATCTTCAATATATTGGCAACATCGGAAAAAACTGTCAATATGGCCTATGATGTTTGCAGCATCTCTTGTCACTCTGATCATCGGTCTCGTCGTCTTCAAGGTTCATCAAAATTGCAAAGAGAATAAACAACAAAACTCAATACGAGCTGTCATCGACACTTTGGGGAAAACCGAGGACGATCTTCAAGCTAGTGAGGGAGGAGTTAACACATCCGGTCAGACAAAGTCAACGACTGCAGTTCTGCACGATCAGGAAAGTTGCAGCAATGTTTAATGCCAATTATACCAAACTCCACAATACGTTGCCGTCAACATTCCATACGCCGTCGCGACGTTGAAACATAATCCATTCAGCATAATTGCTGATACAGCGATTATAGGTCAGGGCTAGCTTATGTTAAGAATATTTTGTCATTTATATTTCAGTACGGATTTGACCAATAAACGAACAAGTAATAATTCTATTTCGCTGATTTAACTTCGTGCAGAGATCACAAGTGAATAGTCCGAGTATATTAATTATTAACTTACACAACCACGAACTATAATTGATGGAATGGTCAGAAATTTTGACCAACATCAAACAGCATCGTGTAGACTTTGACAAATCGTTTAAGTGCCTCAATTAGAGCGCCCCAATAACGAATCAAACTAAAATAAAACACGTTCAAAATTTAATAGAAATTTATAATAATATTCGTCAGATAATTTGTGAGAATATCCCAAGACTTACGCAACTGCATCACACGCAGGCGACTGATGTACTTAAAAGACTAAGAGAAAACCTTTTATACATCTCGGATAGGCACAAATTAGATATATTTGTACCAAATATCTTAAACACGCCTGCTACTTTTCATGTGTCCGAAATTTATATAAAGATATCGCAAGACACAATGCACACTGGTTCCGCTTGTATGAAGCAGCGGCCATAATTACTTTTTACAGAGATAGAGGGCTGAAATTTTGCACCAATGCTAATATAAAGTTGATTCCCAGCAAAAAAAAAAAATAATAATAATAATATAAAAAAATAAATATATAAACAAAAATGCTGGTATCAGTTTATTAAATATATTAATGATTAAAAATTAAAAATATATACTTAAAAAAAATAATAACAATTGGATAATACAAAATAAATAATAATAACATCAAATAAAATGAATTGTCTAATAATTCATGCACAGATGGTAATAAAATCGACTTTTCTCTCTTGGGGAGCTGTCTTTGACCTGTTATAAATGAATCTGATCGTAAGAGTAAGGTATTCACAACATCTGTGTTTGTTAAAGTGCGTGAGACCTTTCGACTGTCCTGAAGTCTACATTTCCTAATTTCTTTATTATTAGATTCAGCAGCTTCCTTTGAAAGCTCGCCAATCGATAATAAAGCATTCTCTATAACAGCAGCACCATGAATTAAGAATTTATGTATCGTAGCAGGCAAATAATACCAAGGATAGGCAGTTATTAGTTCATTAGCTGTACCTAGCGCGATTAATTTTATAGCCCGATGCAATTGAAAATTATTCAAATTAGTCGGGTCAAACTTGCACCCTTTGCTTTCAATATTACGGTGAAACAGACCGCAAGCCTTTGCGCGTTTCTCTTCATTTGATCCGGATTCAGCGCACCACAAATCAAACAAATACATGCGTTTAAATTCGCAGTGAACAGAAGTGCCTAGCGCAAAAATTTAAATAAAACAATCCGATTCAAATTAAAGCATCGTTAAAATAATACAAAATGGACAGTACGGCACATATCTACAAACATTTATAACTCAACAGCACAATCAAAACAACAAAGCATTCACATAACCTTAAAAAAGTCTAAATTTGAGGCTATGTTCTGCGAATTTTACCACGAAGCCTGGCAGATTCTGGCAGCCAAATTTAAAAGTTTTATAATCTTAAAAGATCAATAAATACCATAAAAAAAGTCGCTAGAGGGGGTGAAGGGGGGATCACAATTAAAACTTTATCTGAAAATCATTAATATAGACGACAAAACACATATGGAGACACTGACAAAACAAACGATTTATTAGTAAATATAATGTTTTTAAACAAGTTTTTAAACACGTATAATAAAATAACATACCTTTCTTTCCAATATTCATTTTGATTTCAATCGTTTTACGGCTCTTCACTTTTTAGGTTCGGGCTACGAAAATATGCGAAAGTACAATCATTCCGCTTCATGCGCTCGACCGAGATGGTCAAATGTTGAATAAAATATGCCTCTATGCTAAATTTTTGTTCTTGCTCTCTCGCTCTCTGCTCTCTCAAATTTCTTCGCGTTAGACTGCCGTTTCTTCTCTTACGTGAAGTGTATTCCGAACTCTTCAAGCCGTTTGCCATGCGTTTTCGTTATTATGTATGTATGTATGTAT